TCTCTCTTTACGTATTAAAACTAGGTCAAGGCTGGGTCATAGTGTCTTTTGAAGAAATTAGATGATTTGAGCTGTATGTTTATAACGAAACAGATTGACATATTGAAACAATAGATGATTATAATCAACATATTCCATGGATATTTGTCAGTCAAGATACTATCTGATAGGGTTACTGATATCATCTAAGCTTCTGTAGTTAATCTCATCATCTAGCTTCAACTAAATACCTTCTTGTCTCTGTCGGAAATGGCTTGCAACATGATTGTCAGGCATCGACCTTCTTGTCAGTTTTCAGACATTGGCTCATCTCCTTACTAATCCCTTGTTACCCGATGGCATTCCCAAATTACTAGACTATGAGATAACTTCTACTCAGACATGCTGTAGACTACAATTAACAAGAACAGGAGGGAACTCATTTTCAACAAATAATGCAAACAACAATGATTTTAACATTTTAAAATTTGCAAACAAAATAAACTTAACACTCTTCAGATTTTCCTCAGTAATAATGTTTCATGAATATTATACTAAACAATCACATCGATCTTAAACCTTTGATGAAAGAACCTGATTATTTCTCTCCACATCATGTTCTAATATGAGAAAAATTGAAATGAATATTCAGAACATCCTCAAAAACATATGAATCTGAAGTAAGAGGCTGGAAACATACCAAAAAATGCTTTCTTTAATACACATTTTGGATGTATGAGCCAGATGGTCTGTCAACAATTTATTTCTCTTACACGTCTGTTGGTCAATAAATCTGACCTCTCTCATAGTGTACATGCACTTTGTGGGTCAAAGCCCACACATATGTCTAGATCGCCGTCCATATAAGGGTGTTGCCTAAAAATAAACCCCGCCCGTTTTTCTTTGTCTGTCTGTAACGTAATAGCTGACTCATTGCACTAATTCTCCATTTAAGCAACTTGAACTTACTTTCTTGCTTTGAAATTCGTCTTATCATAAAACTTTTTTTCTGAAAGTTTTTTTCCTTATAGATAGTATGAATCGAGCCGATATCATTGATTTCGGTTTCGATTTGAATGAAATCATAGAGGAAGAGCGAAAAGCTCTGGAACATGGTTCAACCGGAGTTGTTCCGGTGCCTATCCCCGACGATCGGGATATTTGTTTTAATGATGAAACTAAGGAGTTTCATACATTAGAAACTATGAAAACAATCAGAAGCGAATCTTCTGAGGTAAGAAAAATCGTAGAAATTGAGACATAAGGCTTTCGTTCAGGTTTATAATAGAACTGCATATTCAGCTCATATGGAGTACGGAATGATGGAGCCGACTACTTCATATCACCAGGTATTTTGTTTTGGTTTACTGTATGATCTCGTTTTTCTTCCAGAGCATCTGTGGAAACTCTGATGATTTCAAACCGGCTCCAGAACCGGTGTACCAGCAGTGTGAGCAACCGCTGGATCAGGATAGCGTGAAAGTTGAAGCCTCTGAGCAGGTAACATTTTATGAAATTTTTTTTTTTTTTAGTGTTCATATGTTGCAGAGGTCAGAACAACTGGCATCACTGAGGTTGTTAGATCACCAGATGCCTCAGAGCTCGAGTTTAGAAGCTCAGGACAGCCCAGTGTCTCAAGTAAATAGTTAAATACTAATTGAAAAACAAGAATACTTATCAGAGTTCTGAAGAGAGCGCTCGTGAGCGCCGATTGAAGAGAAATAGGCGAGTGGCCTATACTAAAGCTTCTGTGGTCGAGGAGGACCTGTCGGCTTTGTAAGTTAAAAAAAATTAAATGAATTCTTTGCATTTTTTCAGGCTCGAAATGAGTGAAGAAGAGCTGGATCTAGCTCTTCGAGACATCCCAGAGATTGATGTCTCTGGGTGTCATAGGCTAGATATCCCAATGTTTGAAAAAGCATTGAGGTTATCTCAGGATGAGAACCCGATGTTCGATGAATTCATCTTCATCGGGATAAAAACTTGTCCTCATCGAAGAGCTACAGAAGATCAGCTCTTCGAATATATTCTAAGCAATTACCAGCTCAGAATACCAATCCGAACCGTAAGATTTTCCAATCACTTGCGCTCAAATATAACGTGTTTTCAGGCGTATTTCAAGTTCGTAGAAGCCCTGGACAGAATGGTGTCCAGGAAGATCATCATCGGACCCACAAAGAAGGGTTTGAAAGGTGTTTTCACACTCATTAGTGATGAGAGTCTGGACAAGAACCAGTTTAATGGCTACTGGTTAAGGCTCGATGAGATGAGTGAGCTACAACAGGCCTCATCGAGCACCTCATCCAAAAGTGTGGTTAGTAAGAAGAAAAAGTCAAGAAAGTAGGATAATTTTTATATAAGTATTGTTGTTATTTGTTACTTGTTACGTGCTATTCAGTGATCTCAAACAGCGTTATTATTAAGAGCTTTATATAATTTAATAGATTTTTATGGTTTTTTTTTTTTAAACTTTCTGTTGTTATCTGTTTTCTTGTTAATGCAATTGTATTATTGTGATATCAGTTGAACAAACTTTCTCTATTCTATTAATTAATATTGGTGCAATGTAACCTCAAGAAACTTAGAGTCGGGCAAACAATAGGCTGTTATAAATTGATAAAAATGTATGAAAACTGATAATAATTCGTTTCTTTGATTTCATTATCTAAATTCTCATATCATCATAAATTCTTCAAACTTAATCTCAAACACACTTTACAACAATAAAAAAATTGAAAATCATGAAAAATATTTTAAAAACTTTTGTAGCATTTTTGCACATTTCAGTAAAGACGGCTTATTTTTCTGTGCTCCTATGCTAAATTAAGATTACGGTGTATAGTGGCATGAAAAGTGCATAAGACGCCATTCGATTATCATACGGTTCTCTCATGCTCCAATGCCAACTCAGCAGTGTTGAAACTGATTGACGCTTTACTCAAGGCGCACTTCTTGTGTATCACCGTTATCAAACACATAGATAAAGCTACATAATATAGTTTATTTTAAAAACGACATTTATTTGTGATGATTTCAACGAGGGCATGTTTTTATTATTAGAAAAGAATAAGCAGATACTTATTTTGAACGATGACGTAATCATAGTGACTCTGAACCTTTATTCTCATAATTACCCTCTCGAGCCACTCATTTGAGGAAAATGCTCATTACTTATGAACATCTGTTCATTTATCTTTTGAAGCTATAATTTTTCATCTTCTTCTCAG